TATTTCATACGTAGGTTCCGGAAAGCTAGAAGAAAAGTTTAGAGGAGCAAGACCGGTCAGTTACTTCTTACAGAAGATCATATCAGAAAAGATGTCTTGAATTAGATGTATTTTGTATATTGAATATAGTTGGCATGTACTAATTGATTGAGTTAAACAAACCGCTGTGACTTTAATGAAAGTTTTAAATTTTATCGAGTTTTTTGTCATGAGTCAAAGTTTGAAAAGTCAATGTGACACATCGGACTCGTATCCAGGTCGGGTACGGGTTGGGGGTATTACACAAAGTAGGTGGATTGAAATCTTGAAGGACTATGAATGTGCCATCGACTATCACCCAAGGAAAGCGAATATGGTAACAGATGCCTTAAACAAGAAATCTATGTTAGTGTTGTGAGATTTTCTAGATCACTTAAGCTTGGAAAATATTGGAGGCCTACTATTCAAGTTACAAGTTAAGCTTAAATTAGTAGGTGAAGTATAAAGGTTATAAGGTTTTGACGACAAGTTGATGGCTTTGAATTACGAGAAGGAAATGTGTTATAATTTAGTGTTCGACTGTGTGTTCAAACATTTGAGCATTTACGTAGTAAGATTTAAAATGAGGCACAATGTAGTCTACTCCCTATGCACCCTAGAAGTAATAAGATGTACCAAGAGCTCCGACTGTTTTATTGGTGACCAAATGCACAAAATAAAATAAGCATGGTCGTGGTCATTTGTTGGCTTTTCTCTCATTCTTGGTCACTCCACTCATTCATCTTTTTTGTTGGAGAAGAATAACAATTCGAGATCATATCCCATGATCCAAGATCAATGGATAATTAATAGCTTCATTAAGTTCTTCCAATGAACATAGTTATCTCCATTGAAATATAAAGGCTTGTGAACAGTTGGGAATCCTACATGTATAATGAGCTGGAGGTGGAAGTCATCTTCTCAGTTGAAATGGGAAATGATAGAGCACCTCTAAGATCTTCACAAGGTTGTAAAACTGTCAATTGTAATCTACTCTAATACAATTTGTTTGGCTCAATCAATCAAAAGAAAATCATCAAGAGGGGATGAATTTTCTTTAATCGAGTTTCGTGGAAACTTGAAGAAATAATTCTTTTGGCACAAATCAACTTATAGTGGTTCAAATTTCTCAACCAAAGCCTACATCCACTTCCTTATCTTTCCACCGCTAAGGATTTAAACAAATTCACTAATTTGTTCTTATCTTGGATAAGGTGTAGCCTTCCAACTCTATCTTTTCAGTGTCTAATATAGAACTACTATAGTTTTTATAAGGCTAAACTAGAAACACACCCCTTTTTATAAGGTTTGATTTTGGTAAATAAGATTACATTATTAGGTAGGTGTTTACAAATATTTAAACTCACAAATAATGAATAAAAATATATTCAATAAGTCTCAATACATTATATATAAGAGAAAATGAAAAATAATAATGAAATACTCTTTTCCCTTGGTCTTTAATCTTGGATAGTTGTAGTAGCATTCTTCAAGTGTCATTTGTTGTTTTTAACAGTTGGAATATGCTTCTTAATGTTTATGATCATTAGGGATGAGATATAGTCATTGGAAGCTTTAAAAATGTACAATTAAGGCCACTTGCACATGAAGTTTTGTAGCTTTTAGGAAAGTTTTAAAAAAACTCACTGTATTTTAAAGTTTCGAAACCTGGATCAAATTTTCAAAACTCTTACTTAAAAATATGACCATTTATAAAATTGGGCGTTAAAACTTTTTCAGGGGACAAAGTTTTGAAACTTTATTAAAAGTTTCGAAACTCACTATTCATGAATATAAGAAATTGATATAAGCTTAGTGGGTAGTGGGTGGGTGTGGAAGTAAAAAGTCATACCCATCGTGGGTAGTAGGTAGGTGGTGGGTTTAAAACCTTGCCCGCTCTACATCTGCCCGCCCCACATCTGCCTCCCGACTAATTACCCACCATATAAATTATGGACCATTATGAATTTAGGTATAATAGAGACTATTCTATAAATCTTAAGATTTTATAGGACATGACTTGTAATTTAACAAAATTTTAGGGTATTCATTAATCTTTGGTTTATTTCTTCATACTTCTTAATGGATATATTAGTTTTATATTTTGTTTCTTATGTAATCTAGAGGTTGTTGCTAGATAGGTATTGGCGAGTACAGGCGAGTATGGGATAGATGGTGGGTATTCGGTTGGATTATGGGTGTGGGGTGGATTTGAGTATTGTACCCGCATTGGCGGATATGAATTTAAAAATTTTATAAGTCGTAGGTGGTGGGTAGGTGATGGTTATGAAAATATTTGGGGGTATGGGGATAGGGGAAGGGATATTCGCACTCACCCCACCCATTTTCAATCCCTAAGTCATTACCTTTATCCCAGGATGCAAGAGATCACCATAAGCTTACCCAAGAACAAGCTTCTCGTTTCCCTTATCTTTGGAGCTTTCTCCAACCTCTTTCACTAGTCAAGGAATAAGAAATAAGTTACCAACCCTCTTAGGAATTCAAGAATAAGTTAATAAGACATCCTAATATCTAAATATACTCTTAAATGGGATAATTTCACCAAGGTCTCTAAAAACTCTCTAAACCCCCACTAAGGTTTCCATGGCCAAAACTTGATAAAGAGTACTTGAATGGAGCTTAAGATGTGAGGATTATACTTTTTAACTTCAAAATTTTGGAAAAAGAGATTAGACTAAAAAAAATTTCACCTTCGCACGACCACAAAAGAGGATATGGAATTTTGGAAATATGAAGAAGACAAGGTTGGCAAAGAAAATAAGATATAAGAAGGGTTCAACCTTTTCCCTATTTCCAAGCCCGGGGACATCACTCAAACATAATGGAAATCAACCTTCAAATCCTCATTGGTATAATTACTCTCTTGGTCCTCCCTCATTTTAGCTACATTCAAAAATACCCTTTTTATGTCTAAATAGACTCAAACTAGAACAAGGTCAAATTAGTCTAAAGTTTCTTAATAGACCATTGGGTTTATCCATAACACTCTCGGGTTAGCGTGAAACTACTAACCCGGTATTTGGGGCATGATATCTCCCTCCACTAAAGAAAATTTTTGTCTCAAAATTTACCTCAATAGAACAAGTGCAAATATTGAAGTTGTATAGCCTCTTCAGACACCCAAGTTGCCTTTTCGGTATCATGGTTCCTCCAAAAGACCTTCACTAAAGGAATCCTCTTGTTCCTCAACTCATTGATCTCTTGTGCTAATATTATCAAAGGTTCCTCCACATAGGGCAAGTTTTGAATCACCTCAGTCTACTGTAATGAGATGACGTGAGAAATGTCGAAATGATATCTCCTATGCATCGATACATGGAACATGTTATGGAAGCGCTCCATATTACGTGGCAAGGCTAGACAGTAAGCTACGAGTCCAACCCTCTCAAGCACCTTATAAGGTCCAATAAAATGTGGGCTCAACTTTCACTTACGCCAAAATGAAACACTTTTTCAAGGAGATACCATAAGGAAAATATTTTCACCCACAATCAACTCATGTATCCTAATTAGCTCTATTGTGTTACTTGAGACTATATTATAAAGAAATGTAAATGAATGATTATGAAACATTAACATGAGTTTTAACATATTTATGAAGTGATTATCATATTTCTTTATATTTTTAAATGTCTTATTATTTCTTCACTATGTGAAACTTAGCATGTGTATGTTTCTTCGCACGTAGGTATTTTGAGGAGACCGTGATTAGTGTAAGATGTTGCATCAGCATTAGAGAGTCACTGTAAGCTATTCATAATAAACATCATGTTTTGTGTATTTTGAGTATATTAGCGATTTATATGTGGTGATAACATAGGTACTTAGTATAACTAGTCATCATTACAGTAAAATAGGTTTTAGCGACGTTTTTAAGCCCCACTAAAAACCTTTGTGGCGCAAAAACAAACGCCTAAAAAGTACCGTTGAAACAAACGCCACAAAAGGTAGCGGCGTTTGTCGTTCATAAACATCGCTAAAGATTATGTTTTTAGCGGCGTTTTTTACAAACGCCACTAAAGGTAATTATATTTTACGTCTTTTTTTACTAACATTGCTAATGGTTATGATATTTAGCGGAGTGTTTTCCAAACGTCACTATTTATCTTTTCTTTTGTGGCATTTTGTCCCAAAAACGCCGCTAAATTTTCTAACATATAATGGCATTTGTTCCCAATAATGCCGCTTAATTTTATGTCATATTGTGGCATTTGTGAACGTAAAACGTCACTATTGACTATGTATATAGTGGCGTTTTCTGTATAAACGCCGCAAAATATCTAGAACTTTAATGGCGTTTTTAAAAAATACTGGTATTGACTATGTATTTAGTGGCATTTTTTTATACAAACGCCCGAATTAAAATTAATTTTTCAAATTTTGTTTTCTATTCTTTTGTTACCCAAATTTAACCTGTAACATTATTCAATAAACTTGTCATCCAGAAAACAAACTTGAAATCCATAACAAGAAACTTGAATTCCATAATAATAAACAAAGTTTACATTAACGTAAAATATAATGTAGTTCAACATTGTTAACTAGAATAAACAATAATAACACCTAAGATGGTGGACTCTGGGGTTGATTTTGTCATATCATCTGCATCATAAACTTATTATATATGCATAAAAAATAGGTTAGATAATTTTGAACATGACACAAGAAAATCAAATAGAACATGATAACATCTTATAACAATACACAAATTATATAATACGAGCTATTAACATGTCAACAATAATTTATATAATCATATAATTACAATAGGTTAAAGAGTGAATTTTCTGAAAGACATACTATAAATTTAAGAGTATAAAATTATAAAATTTTAGGGATACAAAATTAAATTATTTATAGAATATAAAAAGAACCTAGATTATATGAAAGTTTTAAAATATAATTCCATGTAGGAACCCTAAGGTTCAACCTAATTATCTTATTTTGGGATGAAGCCATGGAGTCCCAAATTTTTGTCTAATGACTAGTCTTATATATTTATTTGAAACTTATTAAATTAAATCTTGTATCTTTTAAATCTTGAACTAAATATTTTTTAAATTCTTATTAATTTTAGAGTTAGATAATTCAACTCTTTTCATTGTCTCCTTTTGAATCAGTCTATTCTCTATGCATGCATGAGAAAGTTACATCTCTGCGTGCATTTGAATGTGAGTGGTTAGCATGGCATTGGTGCATATATACAGAAGATAAAGAAAGTTACTTCTGATGCTTCAACCGACGTTCAGGGCCATCATCTGCATCTTTATGTGGAGGTGCAGTCACCAGTAAAGAGTAGGTAATGCACTTGACCAGAAGGGAATCAAAGGCTTCTTTTACCTTACCCTTTGAGCATAAAATAAATGGTAATGGAAGAATATCCGGATGAAAGAACAAAATTCACAAATATAACCTGAGCTGCAAAGGGAAGAGATGTTAGGAAGCAAACATTTGCAAACAAATATATATCATTTATATAGCATTCATCATAGGATGGTCTGAATACATGTAGAGCAAATTATGTTAGTATAACTCACCTTACAACTCACACAACACATACATTCGTGACCCAAACAAAGTTCTATACCCCTACTAGTTAGAAGTCAAAAGGTCTCATACCTAAACCATATATATACAGAAGAATTTAGCTTCACCACATTCATGATTCACCTTGCAACTGGTCGGTCGATATTTCTTCCTGTGATTGATTTTGGGACAGCACAAACTGCTCTTAGATTACATAATAAAGCATCACGCCCAGTCAAAACTATTTTGAAAAAGCCATCTACTACCTTTGAAAGATTATCTAGCCCTTAGGATAGTTTCTCTATCGTGTTCCTCAAATCAGAAACATAATTCTTGAATAATTCAACTTCAGCAGGACCAAACCCTATAGAAGAGTTCTTCACCCTAATAGGAACAGCAAATCTAACAAATTCTTGGTAGAACCAGAGAAAGCTGCAGCAAAAAAACTACAAATATATGTAGTCGTGATCTTAGCTTCGTACATGGAAACCAATAAAATCTTCCCTTTAGAAGAGTTCTTCACCTTAGGCAATTTTAATGACTCCACAAGTTTACCCAGTATAGGACGAGAAGTTTCAACTCTGGGATTTTTTGAACGGATGTGTTGTCTCCAGCTATCAACTGAGGAACATGCCCGTAGAAACCGATCTGGGAGTTGGACTCCAACTTATGCAAGACACACTGAAGAGATTGCCTTCGTTGAGCCTTGTAATTTCAGAGGTAAAAGTAATACTAAGATCAAGCAACTTTACACTTATGTCCAGGTACATATCTATCCATTTCTCATCCCAATCAGCCACAGGAAGTTCAAGCTGAGCTATCAGGTTCTTTATATGGCAGTGAATCCTCCATTGCTAGTTTCATCCATGACAAGCTAAGGATGTCATTCTTGTCTTTAGGCACAAGTCTGTGCAGCCTCTCGGACAAGGTAGCCTCAAAAGAATTCAATAAAGAAAGAAGTCTTGGAGGCAACTAAGAACCCTTAGGTGTACGGAAAAGGATTTCTAAAATTGAAGAAAGGGCGATGTGGTTCTTGAGGACGACTCATTTTTTAATGTATTTACTACAATATCCACAAGATCAAAGACAATCACATCACAAATATAATATTTGAAATATAATATAATATAGTATATTATTATTATTATTATTATTATTATTATTATTATTATTATATTATTATTATTATTAATTACTATTTTTACATGTTGCAGGCCATTGAACATCCCTCCAACTCATCACCTACATCAACACCCAACAAATCCCACCAAATCATTGCCAAATTTAAAATATATTTTACCTACTCCAACCAGTGAGCCCTACCCTACACACCAGATTTCATTATTCAGCAAAAAAAACATAAGATTTCATTATTCAGCAAAAAAAAACATAAAGCAAGGAAGAAGACAAAGGAGAGGGGGGTCATTACCTTATCTCCTTGTTGGCAGCAAAGAAATATAGGATAATTTCACCTAATCCAACCGAAAGAAATGATTTAAGGGGCATTCAACGAGAAAAACGAGGGGGAGAGGATAGAAACAAGGGGGATTCAGGTTTTGACAGAAAAGGGGATCAAAAAAAAAAGAGCTCGGGTAAAGAAGTCGAAAAGGAAGGAAAAAGATAGTATTCAAACCACAAAAATAAAAATAAAAAAATAAAAAAGAAAGAAGAGAGAAGATATCTTACTGAGGTTCGGATCGAGTCTGGAACACCAAAGGTCGCCGGAGTTCAAAGTATTCTTCAAAGGTAATCAAACCTAGATCTAGGACTTTGAGGGTTTTTTTAGGTAGAATAGGTTTGATTTTCGGGCTGAGGGAGATAAAGGGATCATTTTGGATTTGGGTTGTTGCTCCGGCCACCGTAAGTGGCCGTGAGCGCTGCCAGGAGCGATTGGCTCTTTCTTGGCCGATGAGGAATATTTGAGAGAGTTTGGGAACTCTCTTTCCCTTATTTTCTGAACCAACAAAGCAAATGAGAAAGAGTGAAGAAAATAAGCTTTATTTTAGGCTTTTATGTTCCTAATGAAACGACGTCGTTTCAACTGGGACCTTCAGCGTGTTTTCTGGAATGGGTTAATATCCATTTAAGTCCCTTCTACATCGTAACGTTTTATTTTAGGCACTTAATGAGTCTATGCTATTTTATTTCGAGCCTCTAGTTTTATTTATTTTTATTTGAATCACTAGTTTATATATTATGTATGTTTTAGGATTTTCGGATTTGGATCTGTGATTTATGTATTTTTTATTTTAGCCATTGTTATGGTCTATTATTTATTTTTGTTAATGTTTTAAATTTTGTCATGACATTTGTATATATTTTATTTCAGTCATTGTTTTAGTAAGTTGTATATTTTTATGATATTTCGATTTTGATTATAAAATTTATAATTATTTTATTTTAGTCACTAATGGATATTTAGGATTAATTGTTATTAGATCCTTTATGTTTCTTGTTATATTATTTTAGTCATAAATATTATTTATGAGTTATTTTTAATTTTGGTCCATGTATTTATTTTAATTTGATTATTAGGTCTGATTTGTTCATATTTATTTATTTTGATCCTTTAAGTTTTTCCTATTTTAATTACTTAAGTTTCTATTTTTGCTATTTTGGTCCTTATAAGTTCAAATACTTAGTTTTTGTTCATTTATATTTCGGTTTGTAATATTTAGTTGTTTTCATTTCAGTCCTTTATGTATGTACATGTTGTAAATGTTATTATTATATGTTGTAAATATTTTTATTTTACATCATATGTGTTTCTATTATATTTCCTTAAATATTAATGTTATTTGAATAGTTTCAAGAACGCGAATTTGTAGAACGGGCGTGGAAAGTATCACTTGATCGAAGTGGTATAATCCAATACGACATTCGAACAAATACGAACTTGAAATAAATCAATTTTATTTTACTAATTAATTTATTTTATTGATACAATATGTTATTTTAATTCACAATTTATTTCATTGTATTTTAAGAAGAATGTCAATTTTCAATGTGTTTTATCGAAGAGGGAATATTCTTTCAGGATAAGAAATACTCGAAATAGCCTTCCCGACGGAGGATTGCTAATCTCGAGATTTCTTTTCAAGTTAAAGAATTTTCTCTAATTAATTAGTTCGAAGCAAATCAAATTAACTTTAATAAATGGATCGTATTTTGATTTTATATTCGAATCATATTTTCCCCCATTACGACAACGTGTAAGAGACACAGTACCAGTTTTTGGGCTTTGTGGGGTGTTAATTCTTCCCCATATGTAACCGACTTTCGAACCCTTTAAAATGAACCTCTGGTAGCGCAGACTAATTTTGTCTTTAAAAATGATTTTTTTTCTTAAAATTATTTCAAAATGACATTTTTAGGTATTCGACCTACCTAGCCCAAAGGTTGATGGTGACTCTATCAAATTTAATTCAAATTAATTCTGAATCACCTATTTTTCCAAAATCAAAGTCATAACTGTTTTTAAAACAATAAACAATTGTTTCCACCCTAAAAATGGTTATGACGGCTTGACGACTCTTCTGGGGACTTTTTTTAGAGTCAGGATGTAAGTTGCTTACACATTGTTGTTTGGTGGAAATTATGAGTTCGAGTCTTTAGTTAACTTATGATCCTTTTATTGAAGTTTTTAATTGCTTCATTTTTTGTCATACTAACATTTGAAGTTTTGCTTGCAGCTTAATCCATGTTTGTTGAGTTTTTTTACAGTTTAAGAGTCAAAGGTAGGTACGTTCCTCCTCACACACATCACGTTCATTTGCATGACATGAGCTCTATGCCCGAGCTTTGATCCAAATTAGTCGGGGTGAATGCTTTACTCTAGTAAGAATTTATTCTTCGTATGAGTTTTAGCAAATAACCAATGGGATACATACTTTATACCTTCGTAGGGATTTATTCCTCGTATGGGTATAAGGCAATGAATCCCCTCTAATTGAACTCGTTCCATTTGAAACATGTTATGGGTAAGGATCGAGGGTTTGGCAGCCCAATGGGGCACTGACATCAAGAAATATTTGAGTACCCTTTTCCTCATAAGAGTTGAAACCTTGCATATAGTGAACCGTAGAACGGTCATCCTAGGTATAGTCATATCGAACCTCTGTCCGTCAGTAGGTACCCAAACTAAGTGTACACAAAGGATGAGCATTTCTAAACCTTTCCATTTTGCTTTATATTCTGATGAATAAAAGCATGCGAATTATATACCATGCAGTTAGGATTAATTTCTCGAAAAATCATTTTGGGTAGATAGCATGTCTGGATAGGAATGCTATTTAATTAAAGCATGTTCAGGTAGATATCATGACGGGTAGATGTTATATTCATATTTGAATAACATTTATCTGTATCGATTGTTTCACCAATGCTAACTAATTTTTTTTTTGTGTACAGTAACCTATTTCTTTTCTTTTGACTGTGTCATTTTTCATTTGTTTTGCATTGCGTTGTTGTAACCCCCCAGACCCGGTCTATAAGTTAGACCCAAACCTAAGTGGTCACATGTCTCATTCAGAGGTTTTTTTCTCTTTAAAATATCTTATAATACATTAGATATAATACAGAACAAAATGTATTAATAATATAGATATATCCAAAATGATAGCAAATACATGTCACCAAATATAACCGAAAAACATATAGAGATATATGTTCGTAAAAAATAAGTAGTTGATCTCCCCTGATGCCAAATCTGCTAGCTTACGGTCTACTGTTATCTGAAAAAGGGTAAAAACTATAGAATGAGCTAAAAAAACCCAGTGTGCTTCAAACAATGTATAAAAACATATTAATAAAATATATCAGTAAAATCATTTCATCAAACATGATTGTTTTATTTAAAATATGAACACTACCCCCATCCGTCACGAACAAAATGTGTAGGTTCCCGAGAACCATACACCCCGTCACGTCCAGTAAGGCCCTGAGCATAAAGCCGAGGAGCCTGCAAGTATTCTTCCTCCAACAATATTTCCCCCAATGTCAGTAATAAACAAGTATGTATTCAAGTAAAATTGGTGAATAATTCATGCTTAAAAAAACCATATACCAAAATACAGAAATCAGATATTAGGAAAATCAATATTCAGGAATCAAGTATCATGTATCATGTATCATGTCATAACAGTATTATGAATTATCACCAATCTAAAACAATTCAAATTAATATTTTTAAAACAGTAAAATAACACTGTCATGAAACACACCTGTAATAGTCTGAGAAATCAGATAGGGAAGCTTATTACTTGGTTTGTCGATCACACTATGCTGCAGCGCTAGATCCTACAAATTAGAAAAATCCATATTGGAATCCTAATATAAATAATCTAAATATTATTTAAATAACATACGGAAAGCTACGGGTAATTCTCGTAGTATACGGTTCAGGCTGATCTAACGAATAAACAACTCCAGACCTAACTGATCCTCGTTCAGGTGAAACACGAGTACCTTCATAAAATATTTTACTGAATCAATTCCTTAACCAATCCTCAAATAAATAATCCAAATACTAAAATACTAAGCCTTTTTGGGTTCACATGCTTGATTCGAGGATTTTTGGTGAGAATTTGACAAAACGGACTTCGGAATCATATTCAGGACGTCGAAAAACATAAAGTATGACCTTCCGAAATTCTGAATTCTAGGTCAAAATCAAAGTCAATGGGTTTGACTAACGATTCAGAGACTTTCGGGTTTGAATTTTGTGAAACGGACCCCAAAAACGGATTCAGGACGTCGAAACATGTCAGGATAGGTATTCTCGGAAAAGATTAACGGCTGTTTAATAGCCGGTCAAAGCCGGTCAAAGTTTTGGTCAAAAGTGGTCAACCATTTTACGAAATTAATATTTTTTCAAAATTACGAAAATAGCACCATTTTAAAATTAATTACCAATATAGCACCATTTTCAAAATATTTACTAAAATGTCATTTTTTCAAAAATTACGAAAAATAGCATTTTAAAAAAAATTACAAAAATAGCACCCTTTTTGAATAAATTCCCAATATGTCACTAATTTTAAAATAATTACTAAAATATTACCCGGTCAATGGTCAACGGGTCGGGTCTGGTCAAACCGGTAAAATATTGAAAATAACCGGTCAAACATTGAAAATAACTGGTCAAACCGATCATTTTGAGCTTCCCCACGCGCAGTGGCGGTGCGTGGGATCGTTTATGACAGCGTAAAATTCACGGAAAAATTTCTAAAAATTATTTTGAGCGATTTCGAGATACTTACAAAAGTTCAGTTCAAATTTTTGAATGGCAGAGAGCTCGATTTCATCAAATCGGAAACTTTGACCGCTTCACCTCCCCATGCGCCGCCGCCAATGGAGACCGAGGATGACACTGGCGGACTCGGAACGGCATAAGGAACACGATGGTGCGGGAGGTGTCATAAACGGAGCAACAATCCGCGATGAATTTAAGATTTTCTTGGCGATTGAGCTAAAAAACGTCAAGACTTTGACTGGAAATTCCCAGCGTTTGGCAGTGTTTCGCTTCAATTAATTTAAGGGGTTTGTTCCTCGCTCGATGATGAACACGATGGTGGTTTCAAAATGACGATCAGAATTCGAACGGCGTCGGGATCGTTGTCGGAAGTTGACATTGGGGAAGGAAGTTTAGGCTCAATTTAGGAGCAATTGGTTTCTGATTTTTCAGAAACCAATTGCCATATATAATACCAAACTTCACCAACTTTTCTTGGGTAAATTCAGGGTTTGTCCCTAAATTTTTTTGGGTAAATTCAGGGCTTGTCCCTAAATTTTCTTTAATGCTAAAACAAGCTACAAATTTTTAAAATCTTTTAATTTAGTCCCCAAATTTTACCAAATTACTTAATTAAAACCTCAAATTACAATTATATATTATTTTCAAATTTTCGGGTTGTTACAATTCACTCCCTCTACAAGAAATTTCATCCTCGAAATTTACCTTATGCAA